AATTCGTTTGTTTATACTTTTTGACATAATAGTACCTTACAAGAGAGCCGCACTGAATTTTCAGCCACACGTGGTTTAATACACCTTGGTTTCAATCATGATCAGCGTTGCCGCTTTGGTAATTTTTAACCAAAATTGGTAATTTTTTTTTTTTATTTATCAAGTTTGGTAATTTGGTAATTTATTTTTCAATTTGGTAATTTTTTCCATTCGGCCTTACATGTCAAATAGGTCAATATTGGTTCTGATTCCACATTAGAAAGTGGACCGTAAGCGTTTCTTTTATAGCAATACCAGGTAATCCTGAAAGTTTCGCAAGGCGAAAGGTGTTCCAGGGTTCCTTGGCTACCAGATTGGTGTGTTTTTTAACAAACTGCTTGAAAGTGGCTATTGCTAAGTATATCCACCGTGTCCTTACCTGTAAGGTTTTGGGTGGTCCTACCTTTCCCTGTCAGTTCGTCAGCTTTTCAATTACCATCAATTTTCCGGTGTACCCGGCAACCATATATATGAATAGAATTCTTCATAAATACGTATGTTCCCGTTCAAAAAGCTACGGCTTTCAGCGGGGNTCGCAAGGCGAAAGGTGTTCCAGGGTTCCTTGGCTACCAGATTGGTGTGTTTTTTAACAAACTGCTTGAAAGTGGCTATTGCTAAGTATATCCACCGTGTCCTTACCTGTAAGGTTTTGGGTGGTCCTACCTTTCCCTGTCAGTTCGTCAGCTTTTCAATTACCATCAATTTTCCGGTGTACCCGGGAACATACGTATTTATGAAGAATTCTATTCAAAAAGCTACGGCTTTCAGCGGGTGACTTCACCCTGTCTATGTGTGAGTCGAAAGCTTTCCTTCAAGCGTTGAATTTTTTATATATATTCTAGTCACTTGTTTACATAAAGTGGTCGAAAAAATTATAGTCGCACCATATTTTCACAAGATTTATCATATTATTTTTTTTGTAATTTAATTTTGGTTATTTTTTATAAAAATAGTATCCTTTCTTTAACAGAACTCAAACAAATTCAAACTTCAAGTCTTTTTTCAATATTTAAAAAAGTTCAACAAACTTTAGTAAAAATTTGAGGATAATGGAGCGCTGATTGCCTGAAAAGCTAGGTATCTTCGGATATATATATGTGCAGATATATCGATCCCTAACTGCCAAAATAACGTGAGCGAAATTTTTTTAAAAATTTTATTTTTGATGTAGAATGGCATCTAGATGCTCTAAGAATATTTCTGCATCAAAAAGATTTTTAAAAAATTTCGCTTACGTTATTTTGGCGGTTAGGGCTCGATATGTATGTTTGTACAGTTCTGCACATAAAATAAGTTTGGTAATTTTTGTTGAACTTTTTCCGCTGATTTTGGTAAAAAATAAAAAGAATTTGTGGCAACACTGATCATGATACAAAAAAGAAGGTAGTTTCATTTAATGACATTCGTTGTTGTTGTTAACCATTTGACTTTTAATAAAATTATGTCATTTCATTAAATTCATCAGCGGCGGATCCAGAATTTTCTGATGGGGGGGGGGGGGACTTTTGCGGGAAATTTTGCCCCTTATTCTAATTACCTTAAACGAGCAATTTTTGTGTATATGTATATGTATCCATAAGTTTCTCGGCAACGGCTCTAACGTAGCAAAATGAAAAATCGTTTAAAAAAGGCTTTCGAAGTTGTATTTCTTCCAATTGTCAAAAACTTTTTATTTGTCACGGGGAAAATACCGTAAAAATTATTTGTATCGTGCGAATATCTATAGAAATTATCTGGGTTTGGAAAACTAGTTAGCACAGCGACAACAGCCAAGCATTTGCTTTTTTATAAATTGTTGTTGGTCCCCTTTCAGACACGTCAAGTCTAGCTTTCAAGTCTGCTCGTTCGTAGGCGAAGGAGGTGAGAAGAGAGGGGAAGAGTACAGATACCTCCGTACCGTCAATTCGTTTCAAGTTTTCTTGTCTCTTTTGTTCTTTTTGTTGCTTCCCATTTAAAGAACCAAGGACTTGAATTCAATTAAAGTTGACGCGTGTGGAATTCAATAATAAATTTCAAATATTTTAAACATATTTTGAATAGGAACTTATATCTTTTTTACCATCTGTAAAACTGACGAAGTGGCAACCATCTAAAGAAGGAGAAATCAGGTGACACGGAAAAATCTAAATTCCGCAATTTCTTCGCTACGGGCTACAACTACAGAAAAATTCTGCGGTGTTGAGTTTTCATTTACATGGCGCTTTGGTAAGACAGATCGTGTCAGCTGACTCGGGTTTACGTACCGGTAGGTTTACGTTCTTGACTAATTTCAGCTTAATGAAGATCTTGCGGAAGCAATGAGCTTAGCCGACGAAGGAAGGAATTTAAAGAAATGCGACAAGATGCAGAAAAAACTTTCATTTGCTTTTCGAACACGTAGAAGAAGTATGCACCAACCTAGGTACAGAAATCAAAGTACCGCGATACAGCAGTCGCCAAAAGAATCGCTTTAATGTGAAAACCGGAGATGCCGAGGCATACTATCGCATTGCTTTTTACATTACCTTCCTTGATACACATATTGCTCATTTGAAAAGCCGGTTCCTAAACCATAAATCAGTTTTAAATAATTTTAGTGTTTTGTTTCCAAAGTATGAGTTTAACGAAAAACACTGAAGAATTGTTTGCTTTCTATGAAAAAGTAATCGACTGCTCGAAACAAAACTTTCTTCTGGAGGTAAAAATGTGGAAAAAAACGAGTTTCACACGAACATTTTCGAAATGCTCTCGAAGCATTACAAGTAGCTAATTCAACGTTTTTAAGATCTTACGTATATTGGCACTTTTGCCCGTTTCAATAGCCACACCTGAACGAAGCTTTTCATGCCTGAAAAGAATTAAAACCTACTTGAGAAATACAACATGTCAAGAAAGACAGCATCTATGAATATTCACAAAGATATACATTTTTCAGTTGACGGAGTTCTAGAAGAATTTAAAAAAAAAACCCGAAAAATTTGAAAATTCTTCGTTTCATTGATTTATGAGTAAAAAGAAAAATTTAATGTGTTTAAAATTATCAAAATATTTTATAAATAAAGCGAAAAATTTAATATGTATATGATTTTAAAAATTCGTGTTTGAAACTTTATTACGCATACGTACTTTCTTCTAAAGAGCCTTTTTTCTAGACCCATATTAGTGAAATATTATTCTTTGACATGTATCCGCCACTGAAATTCATGCTACCTGATCACGAGCAGTAATATTTTTCAGAAGATTTCTTCAATCCACTCAAAGATGTCAAATATGATGAGCCTGAAAATTAATGTATAATCTCAAAAATGGGATTGACGAAACTAGGTTTCAGAACGGATGAAGAAAGTGATCAAAATTATATTTATGCTAACTGCTTATCGGAGTGCGGTCTGCGCAAGCCGAATTCAAGTTTTTTGCATAAATTGGAAATTTTAAATTCGAAATTTGTTGAAGTTAATGGTGATACGNAGCCGAATTCAAGTTTTTTGCATAAATTGGAAATTTTAAATTCGAAATTTTTTGAAGTTAATGGTGATACGCCATACAAAAAAGAATGTAGTTTCAATAAACAACTTTTGACGGATAATAAAATTTTTTGAAGTTTCATAAATTTTGAGTGTTCTCAAAGGCCTTGCCACTTTGATAATATTAAAACAATAAGTCGGAGTATTTTCTTTCCCACATTTATACCAATTTAAAATTATTTCAAATCAAAAATCATTATCAGTGCTTGGTTTTTTTTTTCGCTTACGTGGCTCGCACCTTTTTTTATTAACCCTGGAAGTGCTTCGCTCTGTCTGCGGGCTTGTTAGTCGAAACGACTAACACCAACTTAGAATTGAAATAACAAACATAAGAGTTAAAAACGAAAATACATTTTATCAATTTTAGTTCTTTATAGTTTTTCAAACACATAAACAAAATATTAAATACATATTATTTTCTCTGTTACATATTATAAAAATGGTAATTGACTTCAGAGAGAGGTACGAAGCGAAACACGATTTTTGTTAGTCGAATCGACTAACGAAGCACGTCCAGGGTTAAAAATATATAAAATATGTAATGTTAAAGGAGACTTCATTGAAATTGTTATTTTTATTTTATAACAAAAATCACGAGAACATGTTGTTATTTTTTCATTTTCTTATTTTGAATGCAATCTTGCGATTTAAAAATCTAATTCTAAAGAATACTCTTTCCAAATAAATCATTTATAATCGCCAATTCCATATGAATAAATTGTTCTCATAACTTTACATGCAAAACAAAAGCAAATTGGGAAAAATTATTTTGTTTTGCTTTATTATTTTGGGAATATTTGTTCACATAAAATTCGTGATTCGTGATGAAGTTCGTGAAAATTTACTTTTAAATTTCTCGTCAGATTTTGCAAAAAAATAGGTTTTGTGGTTAGTTCACCATTAACTTCAACAAATTTCAAATTTAAAATTTCCAATGTACCTATTCCAAAAACTTGAAATCGGCTTGAGCAGACCGCACTCCGATAAGCAGTTAGCATAAGTATAATTTTGATCACTTTCTTCATCCGTTCTGAAACCTAGTTTCGTCAAGCCCCCTTTTGAGATTATGCATTCATTTTCAGGTTCATCATATTCGACACCTTTGAGTGGACTGATGAAATCTTCTGCTTAAAAAAAAAATATTACTGCTCGTGATCACGTCGCATGAATTTATTGAAATGTCATAATTTTATTAAAAGTTAAATGGTTAACAACGAATGTCGTCATTAAATGAAACTACCTTCTTTTTTTGTTTCATGGTGCTTGAGTAGAAATAGTAGTCTCGAATCTTCTTTTCCTTGTGAACAATACTTTCGAGCCCTAACCGCCAAAATAACGTATGCGACATTTTTTTTTAAATTTTCGTTTTGATGCAGAAATTTATCTACATAGATGCTCTAGGAATATTTCTGCATCAAAAAGAAAATTTAGAAAAAAATGTCGCTTAGGTTATTTTGGCGGTTAGGGCTCGTTTTAATTTACAGCCATTGTTTAGCCTTTTTAAATCACACATTTATTTTAACGGATATTTACTTAAATAGCTAATATACATACAAAAATTACAATTGCAAATGGTAGCTGATACTTTGGATCACATTCCAGACTCTCTGGTTGACTACCTAGGATTTTGTTGAAAATTTACTGAGTAAGAACCTGTCGAAGGATCCTGCTGCATTTGAAAGTTGTCTGTGGATAGACCGAATGGCTTAAGGAACATATTACCAAGATCCTTTAATTTAGACATCATTTCTGTTTTCAAACGCTCATTGCGTTCATTAATTTGTGCCGGTAGATGTGCCACAGCTTCTTGCGCCTCTCTTTGGTTTGGCTCCAATTCACACACTCGCTTATAGTCAGCCAACGCATCTTCCAAACGATCCTCCTGCTCACAGAGCTTTGCTCGCCTGTTATAAAGGAGTATAGACTATTAAATTAGACAACATTCGATTATGTTAAACTACCTTTACCTCATTAATGCACGTACGTAACCAGGCCAAAGTTCAATTGCTTTTGAACAGTCATCTATAGCAGACTTTTTGGAATCCAACTTTATTTTGGCTGCCGCACGATTGCAATACAATATTGCGCGCTCTTTGGTACAAGATGTCGGACAAATGTGCAGAGCACTAGTGTAAATTTCGATTGCACGTAGTGGTTCTTCTGCTTTGAACAGCTCATTTCCCTCCAACTTCATACGATCTGACTGTTCTTTGTTTTGTTGCAGCTCTTCGGAGCTCATAGTCCTTTCTCGTTCTCGAAGCTCTTCCACGTCAATATCATCTGTGAAAAGTTTGGATGCCTCGTCGACGCTTTTATTGTCCTCATCATTATCTTCAGTTTCATCTGGCAGTTTAAGATCGGCCTGCTGGCGCGTTATCTCCTCAATTTGCTCATTGGTTGTAAGTGGTGAAGAATTACAACTGGCGCTGTCCATTTCATGGGCGTCTTCAAACTGTAGTCTTGCACCTTTACTTTTTGGTACATCAGCAAGCGCATCATGGAATTCATCATCGCTATCTCTTGGATCAGTATTTCCAGACATTTCTTTAAGGTTTAAAATAGTTTAGTGAGGAATGGTTAATTAAATGAATTATTATTACTCGTTTATTGTTCCCCAGAGTTGGAAAAATATCGACGATACTATCGATATATCGATAGTTTGTGATTTACAAAAATACTTTCGATGTTTTAAAATTCGATACTATCGACTGTAATGCAAGATCAATAAGCTGATGCCACGTAAAACTTTTGCTTCGCTTTGACAGATATGATGAATTGTATGAAAATGCACAAAGAATGCCACATAAATCGTTGAAGCTGCATCGCGAAGCGAAAAGATGGCCAACTCCCATCGTTTTGCGCGCTTTGACAATCAGCCGGTTTAATATTTATTGTGTTTCGTCCAAATTCGGGTTTTCATGCAGAAACATAAAACTTAATTACATTGCTTATAATTTTAAATCAAAATAATTAAAATCCACAGCAACTTTGATAAGTAAAAAAGCGGTACAACATTGTTTTCTTGGCGTTCATTGTGGCATACCTTCTGCGTCTGGCGCTTTGCTGACAAAGTTATAAATGTCACGCAAAGCTACAAAGTTTTATCTGGCATCAGCTATAGGGTTCTGTCACACGGTCAGTATTTATTGACGTGATCCAAGTATCGCGGTGTGACATGACAAGTGACGANTAGGGTTCTGTCACACGGTCAGTATTTATTGACGTGATCCAAGTATCGCGTATTTATTGACGGTGTAGCATGCAGTATTGATGGATCTTGATCCGTATCGCAGTTTCTAAAAACTTTGAAATCTGGATCGCGGATCGCAATACCGTCAATAAATATTGAACGTGTAGCACTTTCAAAACGCGATCCATACATTTCGTCAGTACATCTTTTACACATTCTGACCGACAATGAAAACACTTTGAAAACGAGTTTTGAAATTGTGGGTTCAATGATTTTCGCACCGGCTGTTAGTGTTTTCGTTGACATATCTTACATCCTCTGACTACAGTTTTGCTATACAAAACAAAACCAAAATGCTTTTCCCTCATTTTCTTTTCATTAGCAACCTCGTACTTTCATTCTTATTTTATACCATGTTCTGACCGACATCGAAAACATGTTTTCGTTGCTAAAGCTAGTTTTCGACCTAAAACATGTGTTTTCGTCTATGTAAAATCTGTCAATCGAAAACCAGTTTTCGCTGAAAACTACTTGAAAACTCACGTTCCACTCATTCCAATCGGTGTCATCACTAGTTTTTTTCGATTATTTATCGAAGTGGAAGTCATATTTTATTATCTTTAATACGCTATTTCGTATTTATTGTTAATTGGCTGGCGAAAGTAAAATAAGAATGAAAGTAAGAGGTTGCTAATGAAAAGATAATGTGGGAAAAGCATTTTGGTTTTGTTTTTGTGTAGCAAAACTGTAATCAGAGGATGTAAGAAATGTCAGCGAAAACACTAACAGCCGGTGTGAACAGCCTTCAGCCCACAATTCCAAAACTCGTTTTCAAAGTGTTTTGGGATTGTGGGCTGAAGGGTGTTCACACCGGCTGTTAGTGTTTTCGTTANCTCGTTTTCAAAGTGTTTTCGTTGTCGGTCAGAACATGGTATTACTTTGGGCAGCCAGTTAAAAATAAATCCGAAATGGCGTAATAAACATGATGAAATATGACTTCGACTTCGATAAATAATCGAAAATAACTTGTGAAGACATCGATCGATTGGAATGAGGGGAAAACACAAGTTTTATACCATGTTCTGACCGACAACGAAAACACTTTGAAAAAGTGTTTTGGGATTGTGGGCTGAAGGGTGTTCACACCGGCTGTTAGTGTTTTCGTTAACATTTCTTATATCCTCTGATTACAGTTTTGCTACACAAAAACAAAACCAAAATGCTTTTCCCTCATGTTCTTTTCATTAGCAACCTCTTACTTTCATTTTTATTTTGCTTTCGCCAGCCAATTAACAATAAATCCGAAATGGCGTATTAAAGATTATAAAATATGACTTCCACTTCGATAAATAATCGAAAAAACAAGTGAAGACGCCGATAGGAACGAGTGGAACGTGAGTTTTCAAGTAGTTTTCAGCGAAAACTGGTTTTTGTTTGACAGATTTTACATGGACGAAAACACATGTTTTAGGTCGAAAACTAGTTTTGGCAACGAAAATATGTTTTCGATGTCGCTCAGAACATGGTATTTGCAACGAAAACATGTTTTCGATGTCGGTCAGAACATGGTATTAGCAACGAAAACATGTTTTCGATGTCGGCCAGAACATGGTGTTACTGTCATAATGCGAACATCGAAAACGTATTCGCTCTGCCTATGGTATGAAAGGTGTTGCTCCCTTTCACTACTAAGGCAGAGTGGCACAGGTAATTTTGTAAACAAACACATTTCTTATCATTTTAAAAAGATAATTGCTATTTATTTTCAAATATTCAGATATCCAGCTTGTAGCCGAATGCAGTGGCTTCTGGGGTTCACTAAAATCTACTTATCATATTGTAACAGCTCCGGGTAATGGACCATTGAATGTGTTGGCTGAACTTATGACCGCCATGACCAACGCACTCGCCAACCAAATGCGTGTTTTGAATTTATACGGTAGTAATTCATAGCAATTGCTATTGCATGTGTGTATGATTCATATTTGTTTGATGTTAAGAATTTTTGAGGAGTTCCGCTCAAACTTGGGTGTGCTTACAGGCTAACCTAATACTCGCGGCTTGCGTTTTGATATGCACGCCGTCGAACTTGTTTTTTTGCGTTACCCGAAATTGGCTTGCGTGCGTTTGCATTTGATGTCATTGAGCGAAACGTCAAATCAAAATGTCACGCAGAACAAAAATTGGAAATTGAAGGAGTGTTCGCTATGCAAAAAATTTATACAAGTTGGTACCTATTGTTACGAAATCGTGTTCGTTTAGCCAAAAACCCAGTAACACTTGCAAGGAGAGAGCACAATTTTGATATTTCATTTGGAGGGGAAGTTGCAAATTCTTGCTGGGAAAAAATATGCTTCATATGCATATGCAAATAAGCATATTGCACAAAGGCTTATACTTCTATTTCACACCAAAGCTACACTTTTTCCAAGCAAATTTGCAAAGAAGCAACACGGTGCCGCTGCTGAGGGAGCGGTGCGAGGGAGACCACTGCCAGTTATCGAACCTTGTATTATTGAATCATGGGCGCAATCTTGTATTCTATCATTCTTGTCGGGGACCAATTGGTGAAAAACTGCGAAAAGGTTTATTACTGTATAGACTGTGGTGTGCATGTATACACATAAGTTAAAGAAAACCAATGCGAGTGGATGTTATACCATGTTCTGACCGACATCGAAAACATGTTTTCGTTGCTAAAACTGGTTTTCGTCCATGTAAAATCTGTCTAACGAAAACCAGTTTTCGTTGAAAACTACTTGAAAACTCACGTTCCACTCATTCCAATCGGCGTCTTCACTTCGAAGTGGAAGTCATATTTTGTCATCTTTAATACGCTATTTGAGATTTATTTTTAATTGGCTGGTCAAAGTAAAATAAGAGTGAAAGTAAGAGATTGCTAATGAAAAGAAAATGAGGGAAAAGCATTTTGGTTTTGTTTTTGTGTAGCAAAAATGTAACCAGAGGATGCAAGAAATGTCAACGAAAACACTAACAGCCGGTGTGAACAGCCTTCAGTCCACAATCCCAAAACTCCTTTTCAAAGTGTTTTCGTTGTCGGCCGGAACGCGGTATTAGAGAAAAATTAGTGGTTATTGCTAAAAGGTATAATAATTACATGGATTTCAGTACCAGAAGAACTGAAATCAGCAAAGGTAAATATTTTCTCTATAATTGCTGCATTATATTAATTGCTAACCCGATAGCATTCTTCTGCTTCAGAGCAACTGTCAAAAAATTTGAGTTTATGAAATTCGATACGATACTAGGGTTCTGTATTCCAAAAAAGAATGTGTTAAACTATCGAGTAAAAAGTATCGGTATCGAATGCCAAAAGTATCGATATGTTACCATATCGTATCGAAGTTCGTGTCGCTAGCTATACTATACGTGCTTTTGTTGATGAGGTTTTAAAAATCAGCTAGGAAATGGTTTGTGCAACTGGATCATTTAATTGTGATGTCGATGAAGTTGATATAAAAAATTACGTATTAGAAAAATATGTACCAACAAAGCTGTCTGAGCCAATTTACACTGTTTCCTATGCAGATGATTTGGAAAGCCTGAGGGTGAGTAACCAATTAGTTTCATTTAAAATGTTAAAAGGGAGCAATTCATTATAAATAGTTGACGAAGCATGCCCAGCTACAATGTTCAGGACTTATTTGGCCCTTTTGTCGAACCGGAACCTTTCCCGTGGAAGTGCCGATTAAGGGGGTACAAATGCTGGCAGGACCGGATATAGCGAAAGAAAAGTGCATAATGGAGTTAACAACGGAAATGGTATCGTATGAACAATAGGATCGACTAGTTGATTTTAATAATATTAAATATATTATCAATAGCAAATGGAATGTGATTATTTTCAACCAGGTGATACTATTGCTGTATTACCATCCAACAGCAGCAGAGAAGTCCAAGCACTGCTAGAGCGTTTGCAATTATCAAATAAATCTGATAGCTCATTTCAACTGCGAATTTCATCAAAATGTACTAAGAAAACGGCGAAGCTACCACCATACATTCCATCACATTGTACTCCTTATCATCTGTTGCGCGATTGTCTCAATTTTCATGCCATACCAAAAAAACAGTTCCTAATTACTCTAGCCAACTGCTGTGGGGATGCAGATGAGGATGCATTCCTGAGTTGTTTATCCTCGAAAGAAGGGAGCGCTTATTACAACGAGCTTATCTTAGAGCGTGGCTTATCATTATTGGAACTGCTGGAGTTGTGTCCCTCATGTATACCTACACTAGAAATTTTAATTGAGCACTTACCACGTTTGTTGCCGCGTCCATACTCTATAGCCAATAGCCCGCAAACTAATGAAATAAAAATTATATTTTCAATACGCTCACAAAAACCAGGGGTGACCACAAATATGTTAAAAACCTTGGCTACACCCTTGTTAAATGGCACAGTTGCTGAAAAGTTGCCCGAGATCACAGTGTATCCGCGACAAACGAATCAATTTCGCTTTACTGCGCAAGAAGCAAGTGAAAACAATC